CCACTTCGGTGGCCCGGGATTCACAGGTTCAGATCACAGGCGTGGACCTACACACGTCTCATCAGCTATGCTGTGGCGGTGTCCCATATACAAAGTAGAGGAAGACTGTCATGGATGTTAGCTCAGGAACCATCTTCCTCAAGCAAAAAGAGCAAGATTGGCAACAGATGTCAGCTCAGGGCTAATCTTCCTCACCAAAGGGGAAAAAAAATGGGAAGACGATTCATAAAAGAAAAAACTGGATTATAGCAAGATTAAGAACTTCTGCTCTTCAAAAAACACAATAAAAGAATGGAAAGACAAGCCACACAGTGGGAGAAAATATTTGCAAGTCATATATCTGATAAAGGACTTATATCTAGACTATATGAAGAACTCAGTAACAAGAAAATAACCAACCAATTTTAAAAATTGCCAAGAGATCTGAATAGGTACTTCACCAAAGAAGACATACAGGTGACAAGTAAGCACATGAAAAGATACTTAACACCGTTAGTCACTAGGGAAACAGAAAATAAAACCACAATGAGTTACCACTACACACCTATCTGAATGGTTAAAAAAAAAAATAGACAATACCAAGCACTGGTGGGTATGTGAAACAACTGGGACTCCCATACGCTGCTGGGGAGAATGCAAAATGACACAGCCAATTTGGAAAACAGTTTGGTAGTTTCTTATAAAGTTAAACATATGACTCATATGTTTATCATATGACCCGGTAACTCCGCATCAAGTAAAATAAAAATCTTATGTTAACACAAAACCCTGTCTTACGAATGTTTACAGCAGCTTTATTTATAATTACCAAAAACTAAATAATTTCAACGTCCTTCAATTGAGTAATGGATAAACAAACTGTGAGACATCCATACAATGGAATACTGCTCAGCAATACAAAGGAATAAACTACTGATATACACAACATAGATGAATCTCATATGAATTATGCTAAGTGAAAGAAGCCAGACTCAAACAGGTATATATGGTATAATTTCACATATACGACATTCTGGAAAAGGAAAGTGTTTAGGGACAGAAAAAAAAATCAGTGGTTGCCAAGTACTGGGGGTTGGGAGAGGGACTGACTACAAAGGAACAGGAGGGAACTCTGGGGGGTGATGGAACTGCTCTATATGTTGATTGTGGTAGTGGTGGGCACGCAACTATACGTGTTTTTCAAAGTGCAGACTTGTACACTAAAAAGGGTGGATATTACCATACGCAAATTTTTCCTTAACAAAAAAAATTTTGTTATTAAGCTAAGTAAAACTAACAAAACTCAAAACTACTGACATGAAAAAAAAGCTTAATGTAAGAAAATATGGCTAAGCCCATTTTGGGGAATTAAGTTCTAAACTACAATTATGTTCCATGAGGCATATTAATCTCATGTTTTTGTTTGGTTAGTTTTACTTTTCTAATAGTAAAATGAGAGTACATTTGACTCCCTAAAAATATACTTTAAAAAATAAATAAACGTACTATAAAATATTTTAATTACAAATGCCCACTATGTCATTAACTCAGTGACATCCATTATCCTACATTCCTATCTGCTCCCTTCAGTCTCTCAAAATCTTTCCAACAGTTTTAGCCTATCCATCATGTCAGAATATTCTTCAACTCTACATTGCATCAACTTGCTTCAAATTCTCTTTAAATTTTACTTCTCAATAAGATCTATCAGTTTTTTCCTTGATGATTCTCTTAGTCTTATCCTTAGCACAGCAATTTTCCCCTATCACTTAGTCTAGGTCCTTATCTCTTACTCCTAGGTAGCTTTCTTGATTTCAGTGTCTCTCTACTTTAACTGATCCTATCTATGGCAGACAAGCAGATCTACTCAAAAGGCTTCTTTAAGGAAGTTTATAGCAGTACAGGCCTACCTCAAGAAACAAGAAAAATCTCAATCTAACACTATACCGAAGAGAACAAGAAAAAGAACAAAGCCCAGAGTAGAAGAAAAGATATAATAAAAATAAGAGGAGAAATAAATGAAATAGAAACTAAAAAAACAATAGAAAGGACCAATGAAACTAAAACCTGGTTCTTTGAAAAGATAAACAAAATTGACAAACCTTAGTCAGACTAAGAAAAAAGGAGAGAAGACTCAAATAAATAAAATTAGAAATGAAAGAGGAGAAATCACAATGGATACCACAGAAATACAAAGGATTATAAGAGTATACTATGAAAAGCTATATGCCAACAAATTGGATAACCTAGAAGAAATGGAAAAAATTTTTAGACTCATACAACCTCCCCAAACTGAATCAAGAAGAAACAGAGATTCTGAATAGACCAATCACAAGTAAAGAGATTGAAACAGTAGTCAGAAACTTCCCCCAAAACAAAAGTCCAGGACCAGGTGGCTTTTCTGGTGAATTCTACCAAACATTCAAAGAAGACTTAATACCTATCCTTTTCAAACTCTCCCCCAAAATTGAAGAGGATGGGATGCTTCTTAAATCATTTTACAAGGCCAACATTACCCTGATATTAAAACCAGACAAAGACAACACAAAAAAGAAAAATTACAGGCCAATATTGATGAACACAGATGTGAAAATTCTCAACAAAATATTAGCAAATTGAATACAACAATACATTAAAAGAATCATACAGCATGATCAAGTGGGATCTATTCCAGGGATGCAGGGATGGTTCAACATCTGCAAATCAATTAAGAAAATGAAGAATAAAAATCATATGATCATCTCAATAGATACAGAGAAAGCATTTGACAAGATCCAACATTCATTTATGATAAAAACACTCAATAAAATGGGTCTGGAAGGAAAGTATCTCAAAATAATAAAGGCCATCTGTGACAAACCCACAGCCAACATCATACTCAATGGTGAAAAACCAAAAGACGCTATTCCTCTGTAAGAACGGAAACAAGAAAAGGATGCCCACTTCCTGCCACTCTTATTCGACACACTATTGGAAGTTTTAGCCAGAGCAATTAGGCAAGAAAAACAAATAAAAGGCATCCATATTGGAAAGGAAGAAGTAAAACTGTCACTCTTTGTGGATGACATGATTATATATATAGAAAACCCTAAATCCACCAAAGAACTACTAAAAATAATTAATGAACACAGTAAAGTTGCAGGGTACAAAATTAACATACAAAAATCAGTTGCATTTCTATACACTAACAACAAACTAGCAGAAAGAGAAATCAGGAATACAACCCCATTTACAATGACAACAAAAAGAATAAAATACCTAGGAATAAATTTAACTAAGGAGGTGAAAGACCTATACACTGAAAACTACAAGATGTTTCTATTATTATAAGAAAGAAACGGAAGACATAAAGAAATGGAAAGAGATTCCATGCTCATGGACTGGACGAATAAAAACAGTTAAAATGTCCATATTACCTAAAGCAATCTACAGATTCAATGCAATCCCCAATCAGAATCCCAATGACATTCTTCACAGAAACAGAACAAAGAATCCTAAAATTTATATAGAATAACAAAAGACCCTGAATAGCCAAAGCAATCTTGAGAAAAACGAACAAAGCTGGAGGTACCAAACTCTCTGAATTCAAATATACTACAAAGCTGTGGTAATCAAAACAGCATGGTACTAGCACAAAATCAGTAACACAGATCAACGGAACAGAATTGAGAGTCCAGAAATATTCACACATCTATGGACAACCAATCTTTGACAAAGGAGACAAGAACATACAATGGAAAAAGGAAAGTCTCTTCAATAAATGGTGCTGGGAAAACTGGACAGCCACATGCAAAAGAAGTAGGCCATTATCTTATACCATGCACAAAAATTAACTCAAAATGAATTAAAGACTTGAAGGTAAGACCTGAAACCATAAAACTCCTAGAAGAAAACATAGGCAGTACACTCTTGCACATCAGTCTAAGCAGTATCTTTTCAAATACCATGTCTACTCAGGCAAGGGAAACAAAAGAAAAAATAAACAAATGGGACTGCATCAGACTAAAAAGCTTCTGCAAGGCAAAGGAAACCATCAGCAAAACAAAAAGACAATCTACCAACAAGGAGAAAACATTTGCATATCTGACAAGGTGTTAATTTCCAAAATATATAAAGAACTCATACAACTCAACAACAAAAAAACAAACAACCATTAGGTCTTTGCCATAAGTACTCAACTATGCTGCTTATCATAATAATAAAAAGGTCAATATATGAAGAAGGTATAACAATTAAAGATGTATATACATCTAGGAACAGAGCCCCAAAACACACAAGGCAAGAAAAATGACAGAATTGAAAGGAGAAACACATAATTTAGCAACTATAATGGAGATTTTTAATATCCTTCTCTCAGTATTGATAAAATTAGACAGAAAATCAGCAAGGATATAGATACATGAACACCACCGTCAACCAACTTGACCTAGGTGATTTTGTTTTTTAGTGAGGAAGATCGGCCATGAGCTAACATCTGCTGCTAATCTTCCTCTTTTTCTTTTCTCCCCAAAGCCCCGGGGGGGGGGGGGGGGGGGGGGGGGGGGGGGGGGAGGGAAATGTGCTGTAGTGAGAAGGAAGACCAGTGGACTAGATAGGAGTTAGGTAACCTGGTTCTGGCTAGTACCAGTGACTCTGGATACATCTTCTCTGGCTTTCGGTTTCCTCACGTGTAAAATGAACCGGTTAAAGCACAAACTCTAAGCACCCTTCAAATGTTAATATTCTAAGGATCTTCAATCTGTGAGTGTTTTATTAACGTATAAACAATCAGATGGTAGGAGGCATGTCACATGCTGAGTATTCCTAACATTTTGGTACTGCTTTGCCAGAGATCAAACTACATTATCCAGTCAATATTCATTCATTACTTCAATTCCATGAATAAAACTAAATAAGCACCAAAAAAGAATCTCCTTCTGAAATCCAGAACTTGACCTTTCAATTCTAATAATTCAACTCTTGAAGCAAGCATTTAATCACACATCATAGGCGCTGACATAATAAACAAACTATAAGCTTACCTGCCAGGATACTGCTCCCAAAATTGCTGTTGCAAGAAGACTAAAAAAAACTAACTGTTCTGAAATTAAGCAAAAATGACGCATTCCTTTGGATGCCATGATTCTATCAAGGCTATTGTTATCTACCCTGTGTGTAAAATATACTTTATGGCAGTCGTTTAATTTGGTATGGAATCCCCAAAGAGTTAAAAGAAAAATAATATGGCAAATCATCCAGAAAATTCCAAAAATGGAAAAGCCTGGTATTACAAAATACCAGAGATGAGTATCTCTAAGTTTAAATGCTGAAAGAATAAAAAATGTAAGCTCTATCATTCCAGTGAAAACAACTGAAAATCTTCTGCAAATTCTTCCACGGTACAAAAAGGGTTTCCACCTTTCAGTCACTGAAAGTCCACTAAAATAAATGTCAAGGAAAGGATCAGTTATCAGGCAAATAAAAAAACATGCAAAAGCAACTGGATTTTTTGGAGTTTCCAATGAGGAGAAAAATAACAAGACTGCAAAAATAACTAAGTTTAGAATAGCTAGGAAAGACTTCATTCTCAAGTCAATAATCAGCATGGCCAAAGCTACAACAAGTAAAATGACACTCAGAGACTTCTCCACCAACATAGTTGTGCTGGCAATGGCAAATCCAACAAGTTCCAGAAATTCAACTGTGGTTAATAAAGTGGGTCGATGACAGACGTAACCAGAAATTCTCTCCACCAAAGCGCATAATATCCTTAACACTATGGAAGTTAGAAGCAAATATTTGGTTGATTCCTCTTTCACATCACTTTTAAAGGAGGAATTATCAAGAAAACATAGGAGGCCAAGCAAGAATCCAAACCAAAGATTGGAGAGACTTAAACTTGCCGCTTCCATTGAAAAATAATAATAGAGTATGCTGGCAATTCCAAGAACAAAAAGACCAAGAATAAAAATTACCAAAATTAAGGAATTTGCTGTTTTTTCCCATCTTACATAAAGACCTAAGCATATAGCAACCAGTAAATTGAACCTGGCTAAATAGCCAAGATAACGCACTGAAGAATGCATGTTCACTTCTCTGTTTACTTCTTCCAGTCTCGTCATTGCTAAGTAGAGACAATGACTAAAGCAATAACGCAGTGATTTACACATGTACTCTGGCAATTTGGGCTTTCTTCCCACTTGACAAAAATTAACCACTTGTGTTTCATCCAGCAAATCCAATGTATCTGTAACTTCTATTTCAACATTTTGTCTGGTGGAATTTTTGTTTATAGCGATCTAAAAAGAAGAAAAAATATTTCAGTGTTAATTTAATTTACCTTTCACATGTATCTTTTTTATACAAAATAATGATTAAGTGAGAAATAAAGTTTCTTCTGAAACCCAGTTTAAAACCCAATTTGCATGTATCTTAAATGTAATTGTCTCTAGCTTAAAAACTCTGAAGTTTATCCAAACAAAAATGGCACTCCCTTCTACACGTCACACGCTGGGATTGCATGGCTAAATCACCATTAATGAAACTGTTTTTCCAGAGATGGTGAGGAATTCACCTAATCCAGTCTTCTTCCAGTATTTGGTTTTTCAACAACATGCAAATGTGAGATATTCAATTTAGCTTAGATTGTGGCAGATGGGTTTGGCACAATAGAAAGCTACTCAGCTTTTAAACGGAACAAGGGACTTCACCATCAGCTCTAATTTGAAGGCACTAGTATACAATAATTAAGACCATTACTATCTGCCTAAAATCCTCTACATCTTTTTACAAGGCAACTCTATAATGCTATAAAATCTTAGTCTTTGTTTAACTAACAATCTTAACAGAAGTTTAACTGTATTAAAGTTACTCAGTCCCTAAAGTTGATCCATAATTCTTCCTGTACTTTTACCTCTAGTAAATTACTGTGATTACAAACCTACTTTCTAAATCTAAATATTATCTCTGTAGCAAACCAATTCCTGAACTTTCTAGCTAAAATTGAAAAGGTGTAATGTTGACCAACAGTTATTTTAAAGTATATTAGAAACATTACAGTTCTATTTTAAACAAGTTTCTACAAGGATTATTTGTTAGAGGAACCAGATAATTATTTCAACCTTAAGTGACCCCACAATTTGCACTTAAAACATGACAGCGGTCAAAAAATGACTTAACTATCTACTACATAAGTCTTCAAATTTTCTAGTCTACTGTTTCAGAAGAACCGATCCATTGCAATGGCTCATGGTCACACTGATATCCATGGAGAATTCAACTAGATTAAAATTCAAAAGGTAACTAGTTTGTGATCAGTATTTACACTTTCTTAATAGCAGGACACTAAAAGAAAAATCTAACAGAAACATGATTTGACCTGGAATTAACCTTTAATTATCCACTTTGCTGGAGAAGAATGTCACTGAATCAACCTTAGGGTCTCTGGGAGGTTCAAAGTATTATTATTATTAATTCTACTTCTATATGTTCAACAAGTGTATTTTTTAGAGCTAAATCTATCTATCTAACTAGGTATTCTAACTGATTTTCCTCAATTACATTTTCATTTAATCATTTCTTACTTAAAATACCACTCAACACTAAAACTAATGTTTTCCTTTGATATATTTTGCTTTTATCTTTTTACTTAAGTATGAGAAACTGATAAAATCTAGAGTACATTGAATTTTTTTAACATGACTGCTTTGTGTTATGAAACCATTCAACAAAGATGTTAGAATTTATATCCTCTACAGGTTGATGGTACAGTCTGGGTTCAGATTATGGAGCACTGCTGGCAAAAAGTCACACACTAGGCTAAATGGTTGCCACTCTAAATTCATGAGACATCCATCTGTGTTTCTCTGGTCAACATTCTCTCCCAGCCTCTGTAACTATCCAGACCTCTCTTCCCTATCCTCAAATCTCTGATGCTCACTTCCCACTGCATTCTCACCAGATGACTCTGCCTTCAACAGAGATGTGAGAAGGGAGCTTACTTCAGTTTCCAACACCACAAACCCACCTCTATCTACATCTCCTGACACAAGGAAAGAAGGGTGTTCCCTCCCTACCTAAGGCTGAATCTTTCAGCCATACTGTGTATCTCTTCCTTCTGCCTCTTCCAGAACTTGACAGTCTCTCCCCTCTCTTCAAACTCTCACTCCACTAGCACTTAAACATTTGTAAATCACTTTTTAAAAACAATACAAAAAATTTCCCATAGAAATAAACAAAACAAAAACAATCCTCACTCATCCCCATTTCCTCCTCCAAGTTCAATCTTTTACCCTCTTTAACAGCTAATATTTGGTTGCTTCACTTCTCACACCACAAAACAGTGGTTCCCACCACACAACAAGCTGCTCTGCAAAGTTCTGAAATGACCTCTAAGTTCCTACATCCGATGGGAACTTTTCACTCGTTACCCTGCACATTCTTCAAACAACCTTTGACACTATTAACTCCTCTCATCTTCTGAAACCTGCCCTTCCTTTAGCTTTCAAACATCAGTCTCCAGATTTTCCTCTTAACTCATTGTTCTCTCCTTCTCAGTCTCCTTGCAGGCTCTTCATTCCCAACTCATCCTTTAGATGTTCAGTCTCAAGTCTAGGCTTTACTCTCAGTACACACTTTCTATGAGGGATCTCATCTATTTCCACGTCTTATAATTATCTCTCTCCTTAAGTACACATATATATTAATCTACCTGACAGAAATAAAAGCACTAACTCTGTACTGCACTGTTAATAGAGGTAAAAATCTGGAAACAAAGTAAATGTAAATATGTAAATAACTTAATAAAGTACAGTACATCCATTTCACAGAATACATGCAGCCACTCTCTTATGGGCCAAAACCAACACGGCAAATAATTATTTTTAAATGGGTAATTTCAAAGTCTTTCCCCATTCTGACCTTCAAAAGAAAACGTGAATCAGAGAATAAAACAACAAAGCACTACAATCCTTTACAATTGTCTGCCATCACTAATCATTCAATGGGAAATTAATTTAGAGGCAGATAAAAATGGAGCACACAAGAGTCAATCTGCATATGGGAAAAGTTAACTAATAACTGCCAGAGTCTGCGTTATAAAACCCCCCATACGACTCTAACCCTCCTCTTCTTCACCACCTACATTAATCCTCACCAGGTCCTGTCCACTCTTCTAGATACTTCCTGAATTTTTTTTTACTACTTTCCATTTCCAAGGTTACTATCCCAATTTTGGCCACCATTGTCTCATGTTTGAACATCTCCCCGTATCCACTCTTGCCCTTCTCCAAGAAGTATCCCCTATAAAATCAAAATTTGTCATGTCACTCTGCTATGTAAAACCCTCCAATGGCTTCCCATAACCCTTAGGAATAAAGTCTAAACTCCTTAAAATGCCTTATAAGGCCCTCCATATTGGATGTGAATAACTCCCCTGCCTCATCTCTTACCACTCTCCCTCTTAAACTCTGTATTTCAGCCATACTCACCTTTCAATTCTGAACTGCACAAATGCTATTCCCTCTCCAGGTGCACTCCTTTCCCTCCTCCTGGCCTCACTCAAGTTCTCACATGTGGCTTAATCCTACTCTTCAGGTCTCAGCTTAAACCATTTTCTCAGGGAAATCACCCCTGATCCATTTATATGATCCCCCTACTTCCTGTACAATAGCAAAATATTCATCAACACTTGTTTAACGTCTGCATCCTCCACTAGATCACAAGGTCTCTGAAGGATTGTCTTCAATACTGTACGCCCAGAGCCTAGCAGAAAGTAGATACTCAACAAACACTTGTTGAAGAAATAAAGTCTAATACAGAAGTAACTATATTTAATAAGAATGGCAACCAGTTATTGGACACTTTTTAAGACACAAAAAGAACAACCTGTCTCCTATCCCACAGGTAAGAAGTAATAGAGCTAAGGGAGATTCCATGAATATTTGGTTTCCTTATCGGCCTTACTCTAGCCTTCACTTAATTCATCCAAATTCCTCCAAACCAGTAAGTTCTCTTCCATGTCTGACCTCTAGGGAATGGCTCACTAAGGAATCCAAGACACACTGTATTATTTGCATCACCTTTGGACTCAGAAACTATTTCTGTCCCATCTAGGGAAGTGTCAAAAGCTGAAAGAGCCGTATTGAGCAGCCAGGGTCGGGGAACTCCAGCGTTTGGGTTCTGTGAATTCATGATAACTCTTTGGGCCCATCTTATACAAGGAGAAAGGTACCTCGAACACTAAATCTCTCAGCAATAGGGCAGCAATAGTAATTCTTCTTCCATTCGGCCTCCTTCTAGCAAGATGCGGGAGGCGTGAGAAGGATGCTGGCTGTTCTCGACCATCCCTCTATCTTGGGAGAAGGCGACCACCACTGGGAGCCCAGCTGAGTGGGGAACCGCTGGGGGACCCGGAGAGGCGCCTCCGCCTTCCATCCTCCACCCCCCACTGTCAACTTGTCTCGGGCAGTATCCCTACTCCCGCCCCGGGAGGCCAGCTGGGCGGAGCCTGGGGCCAGCACCACGCAGAGCCCTGGGCGGTGTCTGTGCTCGGGTCTCGCCGCCCCGCCGTCCACCCTCTGGTCCCCCTACCTGACTCGGCCGTCACCACCAAAGCTCTCTCAACCCTCGGAGTCGGCTCTGGGAACAACACAGTAAAAGGAAGGCCTTTGGGGCTGAGCCTGCTACTCGGAGCGAGGAGGTGGCACGCCAGGGGGCTCGAGCCCTCGAGGGCCCGAGGCCGGCCCCACTAGCACAGACCAGTCTCGTTGCAAACTTTCTCCGTTACCAGCCCGGCCGCGGCCGCCATGTTCTCGCCGCCGAATCCGCGACGGTACGGAACGCCGCCGGGGTCAAACCGCGCGTAGCGCTTGCTCCCCGAGGCCCGGCCCCTCTCCCCGCCCAAAGCCGCCGCGCGGCGGGGGCCCCAGGTGCGCCCGGCGCTGCGCGGCCCCCGACAGCCCCACCTGAGGCGCAGGCTGAGTCCCGAGACCTGGAGTCAGCGGCGGAGGATAGGGAGCGGGCCGACCGTGACCTCTAGTATCTAGGCCGCCGCCTCAAGCTCGACCGAAACTGGGGCAGGACGGGCGGGACGATCACACGTGGGCTGTAAAAACTGCAGGAGGCGTTGCTGCTCTTTACTATCTATGGCATAATACAGGGCTGTGAGTCCCCTGACCAGCTAAAGACCAAGCTCCTTCGGCTCGCCCCCTTTTCTAATTCAGACTCCGTTTAATACACCGCCCCGGTCTTGACTCCACCGAGAACACGAGGCTCCCCCAGCCCTGGCCTGTCCATGTCGCTCTTCACCCCGTGCGTTGCACGGTCGCCAGGCTCGTCTCCCGGGGGTCCTTGAACTCCAGGGCTGATGCTCTGCGCTCTGAGCGCTCTGGATGAACTTAAGGGATACTGCTCGGAGGCAGCGTTTTCACAACAGCTCTGCAGTCAGATAGTCTTGGGGTTTGACTCCTGGTTCCTCCCTTTCTTATGTGCCACCTCGGTTTCTCCATTTATGAAATGGTAACCTTTGCAAGGTGGTTGTGAATATTAAGTGAAACAGTAATTTTTTTCTGGCATGAGGGAGGCCCTGAAAATGTATAAATTCCCTTTCCATCTCTAAGAAGTCTTCCTGTCGGCCTGCCTTTTGTCCCCACCATCTGCTACTGCTTGTAGTTTAGGTCAGTTAATCTCTGTGAACCCGTTTCGTCATACCGAAATGAATGCTAATATACCTACTTTACAGAGCTCGTTGTGGAGGTTAAATGTAATGTATGTAAAAAATACCTTAAAACCTTTCAATGGTTTATCCCCTTTAGGATAAAGCTCAAAATCCTTAAACAGGTACAGACAATTTGTGTAATCTGGACCTTTTACCTCCAGTTTGACCTCCCACCACACTCCCCCCAACTCTGCACCCCAGCCTGGTTTCATTTCCTCAAATGCAGGGACACGTCTGGTTTTGCTCACCATTAAATCAGCCAAGCATAGTGCCTCATATATAGTTGGCACTTAAATTTTGTCAAATGAAATAATAGTACCAGATAGGACCTCACTAGTTCTCTTCACTCACTTATTTTCTGTTAGCGTTATCTATATACTTGTCCTATCTCCCCTAAAGAGTGTGAATTTCTTCATTTTCATTTACTAGCTGTTGGGGGTCAGAGTGAGCAGGACTTCTATAGGGATGAAGCACTCTCAGATTCCTCATATTTAAATGGAAAGTTTGACTTAGATTCTCTCTAGTCTCCTGTCTAACGCTAAATGCAATCACTATCCAGCTCCCAAATCTGGAACTCTGGCTCTCTGGGGAACACAGTGTCACATTTCTAACTGCTGGGTACAAGTTTTGAATATATTGTCATCACTTCCAATTCAAGTTGTCTTTAATGAACATTTATCCTTTTTTTTTCTTTTTCATTCTTACCACCTGAAGCCCCCTTCCGTTTGGAGAATTCTCTACCTTAGGAGTCTAGTGGGTGAAATTGAAATGCCAAATACCTGCTGAATCAATCATGTGCACCAGCTGGAAGCTAGTGACTCAAAAAAGCTGGCACAGACAGCTATGCTCCCTGGATAACTGCAGGAGTGTAGCAAGGTAAACTCCTGGGACAGTAGAGAGAGTGCTTCTAGTGGAAGCATCAGCATCCAGTATTAGCTGAGTCAGTGATTCAAGATGCCTGTGCATGGTGACAGCACCCCCAGAGCCCTCTCTGTCAGTTCTGTGGTCCGTTATTAATGGTTGTAGTCTCTGGCTGTGCAGATCAAAGCCTCCGTCTCCAACCCTCCGAGCTACCCAATATCCTCTAAAAAATTTCTTTTCTGCTTAAATCACCTGCAGCTGTTTTCCGTTTCTTAGCACTAAGACGCCTCATTAAAACAGTGCGTTTTCGTCTTCCTCAAACATGATCCTCTGCCTTGTGACCTTGAAACCATTTTTGATGCTCATTATCTTGTCGGTATACTTTAGCATACTTCAGTGAGATGTGTATGTGTTTGAGAGTTAACTTTAATCTGCACACTCCAGGGTGAGTAATTAGCATTTGAAAGACACTAATCAGGAATCCTCACTACAAAGTTGGATGCACAAGTGCTTCCAATATCACTATGTAAATCTGCACTAGAGGTATGTTAATTAGCATAAAGGATTAGAAATGATTTTTCATTGTGGAATTAACAGGTGTTCAAGCTATGCGCTTGGCTAGGATATGGCACAGGCACTTCTGTTCTTGCCTGAACATGGTATTAGATTCCACTGAGTCTAGCAGACTGACACCCTTCAGGATGGCTCCCTGACTCTAGACTGCTGTTTAGTACTTTGCCACAAAATATTGTTTGTGTACTGTTTTTTGTGTCTCCTTGTTGACAAATATTTATTTGTGTAGTAGCAGTAAGTCTGAGACTTGCTTTCACTGTAGGACATTACCCAATAGCAAGAGAGAAGACAGGTAGCTCACGTTAATCTTTAGTTGTTGAGGGCTACCTGTATTTACTAAAAGAACCTGACAACTGTGAGGGCCAAGTGTCGTCCATTTTCATCCATCATATTTCTTGAACTTATCACTTCCTTCCAACTTCCTTGGCCACTACCCTAGTTGAAGTCCTGACACCTGAGTTACTTCAGTAACCTCTATGCTGGTCATCTTGATGTCAGCCTCACTCCAGACTAATCCATCACACTGGTCCCCTGACTGATATTCTGAGCACCACTTTCTATCACTTCTTAGATTAAAACCAATGACTTCTACAGGTTACCGAATAAAGTCTAAACTCCTTAGTCTGGCACCTGAGGCCCTCAGGGGCATGATCTGAACTCCCCTTTGCCTGGTGCTATTTGTCCTGAAATTAGAAGTATTGGGGTCAGTTCCTGACACCTGGCACGTACACAGCCAAACACTTGGATATAAAACAGCCCCCTGGGAAACATTGCAGTGACAGGAGATTTCAAGCTGTGGTTATTGATGGCAGTGTAATGATCCTAATAGCTGGAACATCCATTCTTCAACACTTGCTTCTATGCAGGCTCCAGGCCAGGAATTTCACCCAGAGGAGTTGTTTCAGACTAAGAACAACTGTTGAAAATAGAATCATGATAAAAAAATCAAGGAAGGCAGGAAAAGGCAGCACCTGTGGCAGGAGAAACGGATGAGCTCCCGTGCATCCCAGTCCTCTGCGGCAGGGAGTCACAGGTGAGTCCTACATTCTTTCTTCCTAGGTTCTCTCTTGTTTTCCTTCTACTTTCAATTCTCCAATCCTGTTCCAGAGCTGAACCAACTCCGCTTCCCCGTAGAAGATCTGCTGGGCCTCCTTGCTTGTTATTTCTTTGTAACACTTTGCGATTCAAAGTGCTTTCAACTATATAATATAATCCAGTCTTCACCAAAACCTGCTGATGTGTATGTTTTCATCACCGTTTTACAAATATAATAACTAAGATCCAGATAAACTACACTGTTCCTTGTCCTCATAACTGTCGCAGAGCAGGCACTTAAACTTCAGTCTTCTGCTTCAAGTCCTGGGCCAGTAAGTGCAGCTTTCTAAGTATCATTCCCCTCCCAACTCAATTGCAGTCTCATTACAGCTGGTCACAGTAAGTAGGGCAAGGGTTACAGTATTCAGTCCTGGTATACTTCTTAGAATCATCTGGAAGATTTTTAACCTACATCCATACCCAGCGCAGCCCAGATCAATTAAATTAGCGTCTCCTCTGGAGTGAGTCCCAGATAGTTTTTTTTTTTTTTTTTTTCAGGAAGATTAGCCCTGAGGTAACTACTGCCAGTCCTCCTCTTTTTTTGCTGAGGAAACCTGGCCCTGAGCTAACATCCGTGCCCATCTTCCTCTACATTATATGTGGGACGCCTCCCACAGCATGGCCTGCCAAGCGGTGCCATGTCTGCACCCGGGATCCGAACCAGCAAACCCCGAGCTGCCAAGAAGGGGAATGTTTGCACTTAACTGCTGCACCACCAGGCCAGCCCCCATAGCGTGTTTTTCAAAAGACCCTCCCCACCCGCCTCCCCAGTGTTTCTAATATAAAGCAAGGGTTGAGAACCACTGAGTCATTTCTTCCATTAGCGCAGTGGTTCTCCAAGTGTGGTCCCTGGACCAGATGGATCAGCGGCACCTGGGAAATAGTTAGAAATGCAAATTATCAGGCCCTCTGCTCAGGTCTACCGAATCAGAAACTCTAACGGGGGGCCCAGATTTTAGGATTAAGTTCAGATGCTTGTGTCAGAAAATAACAGTGAGTTTAATAGCACTTTATTAAACAGTGGCGTAAGAGCAGTTTATTTCTCTCTCTCATAAAAGCAGTGTAGACGTGGGTATTCCAGAGCAGATGTGGTGCTCCTTGGTGTTAAAGATCCTGATTCCTTCTCTCTTGTTGCCCTTCCACTCAGTACATGGCGTCCACCTCATAGCCCAAGATGGCTGCTTAATTTCCAGCTATGGCTTCTGAAGTCCAGTCAGCAGAAAGGAGGAAGTACAAGAGGTGATTATACTCCCCTCACCTGTACTTTAATGACGCTTCTTGGAAGTCGTATAAGACATTTCAGCTTTCATCACACTGACCAGTATTTAGCATTTATAGAGACTGGGAAGAGTGGTAAGTTTTTGAGTGGCTATATGCCTATCCAAAAGTCAGAGTTCTCTTTCCGAGAAAGAAGGGAGAATACATAATGGATAACAACAAGCAGTCTTTGCCAGGGTTTAACTAACTCTGCTTTGTCCCTACCTGCTCAATTCCTAAGTGAGGTAGTAAATATCATTATTGTTTGAACCACTTTTGGTTTGCCATTTTAACTGATGCACCTTATTTCTTTAGCCTTCCCATTGTATTAATGATGACAAATATTTCATCATATGACTGGACCATTATTTAGTTAACCTTTTCCTCAATTTTGAAAATTTAGGATATTTTTGATTTTTGCTATCAAAAATACTACAATGATGAGCACTTCGGCTCATTGCATTTGTGATATGTTACATTTCTGATTATCATTTTGGAATAGATTCTTAGACTGGCTAAAGAATATGAACATTTTTAAGGCTCTTAATGCATACTGCTGATTTTCTTACCAGAAAGGAATCATTTTGTGCTCCCACTGTCAGTGAACTACATTATTTCCTCTTTTTTTCTTTGGTATTAATTTCTCAGTTTTACTCATCCTAACCTTAGCTTTTCCTTCAAAGCTCATTTTAATGCCACTTCCTCTAGGAAGTGTTCCCTGATTGCCCCAGCTGAAAATATTTTCTCCCTTTGATTTCTCATAGATTTTATCTGTTAGGTGACTGAAGACACCACCTTTTTAGTATTTTCCTTTTTTGTTGTTGTTTTAATTACTTTTAAAATGTACAGACTAACTAATTCACACAATTCAAACAACTTCAACTATACAGAGTAAAAAGTGGAAGTTTCCCTTCAGCACTGTGCCAAAGTCACTCCCATACCTATAGGAAAACAGGATTACTCCGTGATACACTATATCCTTCTAAGTCAGTGTTTCTCAAAATGTTGGCCACAGACTCACTGCCTCGAATCCCATGGGAGCTCGTTAAAGACAGAGGCGCCTGTGCATCAGCTCAGACCCTCTGAATGAGAATCTCATGGAAGTGGGACCTAGGAAGCCCCACTTTGGTGGTTGTTAATCCTACTAAATTTTGTGAATCATTGATCATATCCTCTTTCCATATGTTAATAGGAGTTCTTATACAATTGTATAATTTTGTTTGGTTATGTTCCCTTTACCGTTATTTGACTTGCTTTTTTATTTTTAGCATTTTATCTTAGAGATGTTCTCAAGATAAGCCATAGAGATCCCTGTGGGGTTTTGTTTTTTTTTAAAAAAATTTTTTAAACTGTCTAGAATGACTGTCCTGTGATTCATATAACTATTTTTCCATTGATGAGCATTTAGACTTCCAAGTGTTTTGTTATTAAGAACTGTGCTTCAGTGAATATGTAAAATTTGCAGACATGTATATGTTTATGGATTAGAAATTGCTGGATTAAGTGCATATTCAAAATGTCGATACTGCTAAATTGTTCACCAAAAGGCTTTTTGGACTTATACCAAATTTCTACCCATAGTGAAAGAGAATATTCTTATCCCCATCCCCATACCAATAGTGCATATTATCATTTTTCATTTTTGTTGGGTTGATGGATCAAAAACAGTATCTCTTTGTTGTTTTAATTTGCTCTTTTTCTCATTACTAGTGAGTTGAGGCCCTTGTCATTTTATTTTTTTCCATTTGTATTTTTTCTTATGTGAACTGTCAGTTCCTATTTTTTTGTTCATATTTATTATCATTTATTATCTACCACCAACACTATTGAATTGCCCATTGTTTCTCTACTGATTTGAAACATCACGTTTGTCCTAACTAAATTTCTGTATGTACATTGGAGAGTTTCTGGACTTTTTACTCTGTTTTATTAATTTTCTTGCACCTCTGCCTTACCATTTATATTATAGCTTGTATGTCTTTATATCAATAACTTCTTTATTCTTTTTCAAAAAATTTCTTGGTTTTTCTTGCCTATTTTCTCTTTCATATGAAATTTTAATAAGCTTGTAAAATTGATACAAAAACCTTATTTGGATTTTGATGGAGATTGCAATGGATTACTGATTAATTTGGGGGAGATTTGACATTTTCCAAATCTTGATATATCCCCAAATCACAGACTTATCTCTGATATTTGGTCTTCCCATCAGAAACCTGGCAGTGTCTGCAGCAAAAGTCTTATGTTCTTTGGTAAAGTTTTAGTATTTTCTTTTTATAGGTCTCCATATTTTTTATATTTAGTTTATTGCTAAGTATTTTTAATAGTTTTTTGTTAATTTTGCAACCATGATTGGGATATTTTTCTCCATTATATTTGCTAATTGGTTTTTGCTGCTTTATGGGAAATCTAATCTACTAAACTTTCTTATTCTAAAATTTTTTGTTCATTTCCCTTGTGCTTTTTAGCAATATCATCTATAGATAATGAGCTTTATCTCTTCCTTTGCAGTATTATACCTCATTTATTTATCTCATTTTACTAAATTAAGTCTGTTTGTTACATTGAATAATGATGGTGCAATTGGGTGTCGTTGTTCTTTCTGCCCTTAATGAAAGGCTGCTGGTATTTGTTCATTAATAAATGAAGTTTTCTGGGATCGGCCCCATGGCGGAGTGGTTAAGTTTGCGTGCTCTGCTTAGGTGGCCCAGGGTTTCACCAATTCAAATCCTGGGTGCTGACATGGCATTGCTCATCTAGCCATGCTGAGGTGGCATCCCACATGCCACAACTAGAAGGACCCACGACTGAAAACACAACTATGTACTAGGGGGCTTTGGGAGAAAAAAAATCTTAAAAAAAATGAGGTTTTCTATAGGTTTTTGGTAAATTCTTTTTGTTGCGTTAAGGAGGCTTTCTTCTGTTAATCTAAGAGTATATTCATGAATGGGTGTTGGATTTAATGAATGCTTTTTGCAGCATCCAGATGATCATACGGTTTTTCTTTTTAATGGATGGATATAATGCCTTACATTATTACTTACTTGAATTCATTTTTGGAAGGAAAAAAAACCCTCTTTGGTAATAAAGAAATGTGTCAATATATCACTTTTACGTGATATTTTCTAATATTTTATTAGTTTTGCTTTAACAGTTATAAGTGAAATAGCCTTTGAGGTAGGCAGAATAATGGCCATCCAAAGATGTCCTAATTCATGGAAACTGTGATTAGAATATCTTACTTGGCAAAAGGCGCTTTGCACACGTGATTTAGGTTAAAGACCCTTTTGCTGAAGTGATTATCCTAGATTATTCCTGTTGGTCCAATCTAATCACAAATCCTTAAAAAGGGAAAAGGTTTTCCAGCTGCAGTTAGAGACAGAGAGAGATGCAAAGATAGAAGGGCGTTCACAGCTGTGATGTGAGAAGGACTTGACCTGACATTGCTGATTCTAAAGATGGAAGGAGAGCTGTGTGCCAAGGAATGCAGGTAGTCTCTTGCTGGAAAAGGCAAGCAAATGGATTCTTCTCTGGAGCCTCTAGAAAGGAACACAACTTTGTCAACACCTTGATTTTAGCCCAGTGAGACTGATGTGGGGCTTCTGACCTACAGCATGTAAGATAATAAATTTGTAGTTTTTTAAGCCACCAAATCTGTGGCAGTGTGTTACAGCAGCAATAGAAAGTTAGTACAGTTTTACTCTCTGTGTGTTCCCTTCAAGTTTGAATCAACTATAGCGGAACGTTCCCTTTTTTTCTTTTTTGAACTTATGAGTTCTTTTTGAATGCTGTGGAACAGATTTTAGAAAAAAATCCTTCATAAAAGTTTGATAAAACTCACCTGTAAAACTGTCTGGTTCTCATGCCTTTTTAAAGGAAAGAGTATTTGACTCCCTTTTCAACTTCTGTGACATCCTTTTTTCTCCTTGTATTATAATTTCCATGTACCTATTTTGTCTTTCCTACTAGACTAGAAGCTTCTTGAATGCATAATCTGTCTGATTAATCTTGGTATCAGAACTCAGTACGTAAAAGAATGCCTTGCACAGTGTAATGCAAACACTTATCATATGCATATCTTTTTCAACTTTGCACCCTCACAGCACTGTAGACAGTGCCCTGTGTTTATGAAACTAGCTTCAAAAGTATATTGTCATTCAGACAGCCACATTGATCAGGCAATTCAGGTAATGTGGTGAACAAACACAAGCTTTGAAGTCAGACCCAAGTTGCATTCTAAAAAATTATGCTTTTCTTTTTTTTTTTTTTTTTTTTTTTGGGGAAGATTAGCCCTGAGCTAACTGCTACCAATCCTCCTCTTTTTGCTGAGGAAGACTGGCCCTCAGCTAACATCCATGCCCATCTTCCTCTATTTTATATGTGGGACGCCTACCACAGCATGGCTTTTGCCAAGCAGTGCCATGTCTGCACCCAGGATCCGAACCAGTGAACCCCAGGCTGCTGAGAAGCAGAATGTGCGAACTTAACCACTGTGCCAACAGGCCAGCCCCAAGTTATGCTTTTCTAACTCTGTAACTTTAGACAATTGCTTAATGTTTCAAAGATTCAGTTTACTCACTAGTACAATAGTGATAGTAGTACTTTGTAGGCTTGTTGAGAGGGTGAAGGTGAAGCAGTGTTTGCAGAGTGCTCAGTTAGCATAATACCTGACACGTAATAGTTGCTTAGTAAATGATATTCATTATCATGACTATTGAAAGGACTTGATTTAGAACTGAATGGTATTTTAAAAAAATGTGTCTTTTCTGTTGCTCCTGTTGTAATTTTCTAGGCTGTTGTCATGTCCAAAGGGGATACTAAGTCTCCAGTTTGTTCTTGCATACAGGCCTTTGTAGTGCCATGACTTTCATTGGTGGATTCAGACCAGTACTTGCCATGGATGAGGTTACAATTGTAATTTGGAATGTGATAGAAGCAACAGTAGTGGGCTTTTGTAGAGCAAGAGAAGTCAGTACTTTAGA